CTAGTGATATATTAAGATGCAAGGTGGAGGACTTTCCTATCAAATACTTGGGGTTGCCAATTTCTGATTGTAGGCTTCCTAAGGTAGTTTGGGATTCGGACATTCTAAGTTGGAGTTGTGGAAGTCCAAAAATCTGTCACTTGGAGGGAGGACAACTCTTATAAAGTCTTCTCTATCTAATGTGTCTATTTTTCAAATGTCTCTCCTTATGATGCCTGCCTCGGTGTTAAAAACCATAGGGAGACTAATGAGGTGCTTTTTATGAGGGTCCGGAGAGTTTGGCAAGAAATATCATTTGGTGTATTGGGAAAGAGTGTGTACACCAGTTCCTGAAGGTGAGTTAGGGATTAGGAGAATGAAATATGCCAACCATACGTTACTAGCAAAGTGGTGGTGGATATCGATGGATGGTGAGCAAGCTCTTTGGAAAGAGATCATAAAACATAACTATGGGGAGGATCGACTTAGCTTGTGGGTAGGGAATAGCTTGAGGATCTCAGTTGATGGTGTGGAGAGGATTATGCAACATAGAAGATTTGTCATCAGCTGCTCTAGATGGGAAGTGGGGGATAGTGCTTTCACTCCTTTTTGGCATGGTAAATGGATAAGGGACGCTCCGTTAAGGTATTTGTTTCCCTTAATATTTGATGTCTCTACTAACCCCATAGCTAAAGTCAGTGATATGTATTATAGAGAGAGTGGGGTGTGGAACATTAAGTATTTGTATAATAGGATTAGTGACGACTTTATAACGCAGATGATAGAGCTTTTGAGAATGTTGAATAAGGTGAAACTCTTTCAAGGATTCCAGGACGAATTGATCTGGGAGGCTGTAAGTGATGGGCTATTTTTGTAAAATCAACATATAATATTCCTTTTCATGACAGGTTAAGGTGGAATATGGTATTGGAGGGTACCCCATAAGGTTAAGGTGTTCCTCTAGGTGTTGTTTCAAAGGAAGTGCTTGACAGTGGACAAGCTTGTGAAGAGAGTTTGTATGCTTTCTAAAGAGTGTGATAAAAGTAGTGATAATTTATTCTTACATTGCCCATTCACTAATGATATTTGGTGTTAGATTCTTAATAAATTGGGTATAGCCAGCCCATTACCCCAGAGCCATATATTTTAGAGTGTCTGTCTTTTGATTAGGTGCCCAAGGTGGGAAACATGATCTTTCATATTGGAAGGGCGGCAGTGCTTTGGGAGATTTGGTTGGAAAGGAATAGAAGGGTGTTTGAGGGTTTAGCTTTGGAGTGTGATTTGGTGAAAACGAGGATACAACATACCATTTGGAGGTAGTTCTCTGTCACTAAAGAAGGCTTTGGGGTATCTAAGATTGATATGGATGTGAATGTTAGGAACCTAATGTCATAGAAGATCGTGAAGGTGAGGCATAAAGGGTATTGGACAGCCCCAGTATTGGGTACCTTAAAGTTCAATTGTGATGAAAGTGTACTGGGCAATCCCGGGATAGTTGGTATAGGGGGTGTGCTGAGAAATCATTTTGGTGAATGAGGTTTTTTCTTTGCTGGTCCGTGTGGAATCTTAACTGCTAATGAGGCGAAATTGCTTGTTGTGCTCCAAGGATTATAAGTTATTAAAGATTGTAGAATTCAGGCAGGACTTGTGGTGGAATGTGATCCTTTGAACGTATTTAATTTGTGCAATTGTGTTTCTAAGCCACCTTGGATATTGAGATTGGAATGGATGGAAGTGATGGATTTGGGTCATGGTATGAATATGTCGTTTCAACATATCTACAGAGAAGGGAATGACATTGCTGATGCTCTAGCTAAGAAAGGAGGAGGATTGTTGAACCTGGTTATCTCGGATGTTCTTTTTTTTATGTTTTCTTTTCTCATAGCCATGTAATTTCCTTTAATTAATAAAGTTGAGGAACATTGTCAAAAAAAAGTTTGATGTCCTTTTCTCAAATTTTATCTCGGCGCAAAAGTACACATACTTCCAACATGTGCCCTCCCGTTCATGTGCAAAACTACACATGCCGTCTTTTTGCTAAATGGTATCATATTTAATGGAAAAAGTTTATCAAAAATATATCAAAGAATGACATGTTTTTTTAAGATAGTGTTAGATTCACACTGTCTAAACAAAATGGACAGTGTAGATTACAACAATCTTACTTCTACAAGTAAGGTTGCAGCCCTATGTAAATTATTTTACTTATCTAATATGGATGATTCTTAGAGGAGCAGTTTTCTGAGAGATTTGGAAGAAAAGAAACCGAAGGACTTTTGAAACTCCGTTACTACCCTTCAGTAGAATTTTGAGTAACATTCTTCATACCTCTTGGAATTGGTTGTCGATTAAAAAAGAGGGATGGGGAGTGTTGAAAATTGATGTACGGTTAAATCTATCTCATCTCTTTAAGTTGAGGAGGGTAAAATGTTCGCTTAGAACTATTTGGATTCCTCCACCACATGGATCCTATATATTGAACTTTGATGGATGCTCTTTGGGCAATCCTGAGCTGGCTGGTATAAGTGGAGTGGTAATGGATTCAAATGGGTATGATGTCTTTGGTTTTGCAGGTCTGTATGGAGTAGCTTCGGCTAATTTGACTAAGATGGCAAGGGCTAAAACTGGTTAGTGAAAGATTGTGGAGTCAACTTTGTAAGGTTGAAGGCGACTCCTTAAGTACCATTTTTTGATGTAAGAAAGAGCAAAAGGTTCCGTGGCAGCTTCGCCATTACTAGCAGCAGTTTGCTTCACCATTACTAGCAGCAGATTGTTGATCTTGTAGCAACTATGGAGTTTACTTCCAACATATCTATAGGGAGAGCAATGTATTAGCAGATTCTTTCGTAAAGAAAGATGGTTCCCTTGATGCTTTGGTAGTCTCCGATGGTGTAAATTTTATTCTGTAATTCAGGGACTTCTTTAATAAAATACTTGTATATTGTCAAAA